TATATATATATATATAGTATAATAATATATATATATATATATTATTAATATATAATATATACTACACACACACACACACACACACACACACACACACATATATATATATATATATGTATATATATATATATATATATATATATAGACATATTTACATATCTTATACATTCATGAGCTATATACGAATATAGATAAAAACAAAGGCGTTCGCTAGAGAATACCATGATCACCATAATTCCACTTGTTTGTTGGAAAAACTGGAGACCGACACCTGCCAATAGTGAGAATGTGAGCTATAGATGACAGCTACACTCGTTTATTCTTCTATCAGCTATAGTGAGAGAGTGAAGGGATATCTTAACTACTTAACACATGCACTCACATATTGGATAGTACACTCAATGTAGTATACGGAACACGTAGGACGCCAAAGCAACGCCCACACTCACACACAGAAGCCTACGATATTACATAGAAAGCCATAGCAAGATATAACAATGCAGCACATATTAGTACGAATCAATTAAAACACACACATACATACTCACATATCATTTACTACGCACACACACACACACACATCATTTACTACACACACACACACACATCATTTACTATATACACACACACATATCATTTACTATATACACACACAAACACACATCATTTATTATACACACACACGCACACATATATATCATTCACTATACACACACACACAGACACACATCATTTATATACACACACACAGACACACATCATTTATTACACACACACGTACACGCACACACATATATACACACACACATCATTTACTACACACACCCATCAGTAGGCGATAGGTCATGCGGTTCAATATAGACGAGCTGTAACCAGACGTTCTTTGCCTTTCCTTGTTCTTCAACGTCTTCTTCAGACACCACCGAGTCGGTTGAGTGTTTGGTCTGTGCGTCGTTGCTGTACGCTTCGTCAGCCGAGGAAGGACTGATGGTGAACTCTGCGGGAGTGATCTGTGGTGCAATGGGTATGGGTTGGGGTGAGAGTGAGAAGACGTGCTTGTGGGCATGTGTTTGTGTACATTGTGCAGTGA